CCAACCTTGCTCCTGCCACTTTGAGTTTTGCCACATGAAGATTTTGCACGCAAAGCCCTTCCAAAACACCTCCACAAACCACTGCAATCTTGTGGAAGATGTTTTCCTGCCAGAGATTAAAAGGTAAACCTAGGATCTTGATCACAAGGTTTTTTGTGAGATGTTCACTTCATTACAGGAGGGCAACCAATTTTCCACTGCAATCTGGCCAAGTGTAGTTTCTAGGATTATGCTTTCACTCTGGAGTTCGGCCATGTCAAGTATTGCCTCACTTATCAAACAGGATTAGGGTAATTTTCTCCTTTGGCTGAAGCAACTCCAACAATATGTGCAACACTTCTTGCCAATCTTCAACCTCTTTTTTAACTTTCACAACTTTCCTCTTACCCCAGTCCACATTCCTATTCCTTCTGTTTTCTCCCTTTGTCAAAAAAACTCTGTCAATAATATAAATCCTCCATTTCTATTCCTTCTGTTTACTACCGTGAATCTCTTCCCATTGTAAATCGTTTCATTTCCCCATCCCTGTATTCTTTCTGCAAAAAGTAGACCATCTATGAACCCTTTATACCAGTCCACCACTTTCTTCCCTTATTTTCAGATGTTTCTTCCCTCTGTTGGTTATTTCCTCCATTAGAATCTTCTTCTCCAGTTGAAATACTCGTCCCCATTTTTCCACCTGAACGAAACTCTCCATTTTCTGTTCAATGGATTTCTTGCTCCCACCTGAGGTTTGTCGCCGAGTGTTAACAGTCTCTGGTGTTAACCGTTAACAGCCGCCGGTGTTGCAACATGTTCCAAGAGTGACCTTTCTGCGTCAATGCTTAGTCATTCTAGGTAACCACATCATAAATGCGTACATATGTTCAATCAATTCTACTCCTAAATTGGGCCATAAAGTCCAATACAAGATGGTTGTACAAAAAATATTTCATAAATTCTTTCAAGCCTGGCCAACCCAACCCAAGCTTGAGCTTGGCCTATGTTGTGTTCAGTTAAGCTTGGATTGGGCTTGTGTTGATAAATTTATGCTTAACCTTAGGTTGGCTAGGCCTGAGCTTAAGGTTTGTACCTTAAAGGTTGGGCTTGGGTTGGCCTTCAACCTGACCCAACCTGCCTAAGTTACCCCCTAGTACAAAGGCTGTTTGTAGAACTAGGAACACTAAATGTTTAACACTGCATTAGTTATTTGAAGTAATGCGATTGGGAAAGAAATAAAATGATTGAAAGTTTCACATGCTTGAATGAGTGTTTAAATATGTTTTATATGTTATGTTTATGCATTTTAATTTGCGCTAATGGGCTTTTTAAAATATCTAGTTTGATTTTGCATTTTTAATTAATACTACTTTTAATATTTTGATTGATTTATTTATTTTTTAAATTATAACTTTGCTTATTGTTTCAGAATTCACAAAGGCATGCCTCACCTTGCACTTTGGGTGCAAAAATCCCCTTGTGCTTTTAAAACACTGGGAGGGAGGGGCTTTTGCTTTTCTCCAAAGATGGTCACTCTTAGACTCAAATTGCATTATCACACTTGTCAGCTTGAGATTTTATCATTACAAAATGGACATATATATATACATGGTGATGTGGTTAAACAAGCAAGTTATATGCAATATTTCAAGTTAACAACAATAAGCACATCAATATAAAGTTGGAAACACAAAAGCAAATTGGACTTTTATAGATTTCAGAACCGAACTTGATGTAGAACTCCTCGTGGAACTGTTCTACAGTATTTATCAAAAAAACTGTTCTTCTACAGTAGTAGTGGGATTATGCCCAATGGGTTGACTCCTTGAAATCCGAGCTCCCAATACTTGAAAACAGGTGAGCTATAGCTCAAATAAAAGTGAATGAACCTATTGATCAAAAAAAAAAAAAGAGAGAATGAGCTAAAAGACCCATAGAAAACAGCCCCAACTCTTTTATAAGACTTAATGACTTGTTGGAGAAGCCAACTAAGATATTTACTTGGTAGGTTCTTTATAAGACCCCTAGAAGGTCCCCCCCAATAACTCCTTAAGATACCTTCAAACTCCCAAAAGATAACTTTATTTACAAAAAAACTCCCAAGGGACTAAAACGCAACAGTGGTGCACCTGATTGCCCTTGGACCCAAATTGACTACAAAGCCACCCAAGACAACTATTTGGAGTCCCACTACAAAACAAACAAATTTACAACATTTTTATATCATTTTTTTTTATTCTATTTTTTGGGATCATCATTCCCAATGGATTAAAAAGAGCTCAGTTCCATGTGAGCAGTAGTTTTAGCTGCCTTGGACATGCCTTCAGCCCCAACTTAGAAAGTAGAATCCGTAGCTACAACAACTCTGCTACACCATGGGCCATAACCCTATACTCAGCATTTGCACTTGATCTAGCAACTATATTTTTCTTCTCACTTCCCCATGTAATTAGTTTTCCCCAACAAAGGTACAATAGTTTGATGTAGGCTTCCTATCTCCTATAGAGCCTGCCCAATCAGCATCAGGAAATGCTTCAACCTCAAGCTTATCATGTTTTTTGAACAATATACCTTTCCCTGGAGATGTCTTCAAGTATCTGAGAATCCACTCAGCAGACTTTATATGAAGAGTTTTGGGGGTGTGCATGAACTGACTTACAACATGAACTGCACAAGCAGTATCGTGCCTAGTGAATAAGCAAATCAGCTTGTGCACCAACCTCTAATATCTTTCCTTCTCTAGATAATCCTCTCCCTCTTAACTCTTGCAAACCATGATTCTGTTTTATGGGATTACCAGTTGGTCTACTCCCCATCATACCAGTCTCCTTTGACAAATCCAAAACATACTTTGTTTGGTACATGCTAGTGCCTTCACTTGACCTTGCTACCTTAATTCCAAGAAGGTATTTCAAATGCCCCAAATCCTTGATTTCAATTTCTGGTTCTAAGAGCTAGGTGTCGCCTTGACAACTATGCTCTCTTGAGCCATTGCTAGTTATCACCATATCATCCACATGTACTATAAGCATTGTGACCTTTATTGCCCTGCCTCCTTATAAACAAGGTATGATCAACACTGCTTTGATTTTATCCATCATTAAAACCAATATATGATGTCTATTTAGAAAACCAGAAAAAAAATCTTACAATTTACAATATGATTCACAATGTTATTATATTCAAACCCCTTGGCACTTTACAATGTGATTACAATTTTGGGAACATTGCTTGACAGAGCATAATGGAAAGACAAGATTTGTGTGGCCAACAAGTCAACAACCCTAAATGGTTGGGGTTAAAGCTGAGTTTTGTTGAGTGTCGTCATTGTTATTGATTAAATCATTTATCTGCGATTAAAATTATTTTTATTTGTATCAATGTTCTTACTGAACATTTCATAGGCTTCTAACCGTAGAAAGCAATGTTTTGTAAACTGAACCAGGTTTTGATACTCGGTATTTGGGTTCAAGCGTTGGACCAATCTGATTTTCAAAAACATTGATAGACAAGCTTTAGCTTCTTTGGCACGGGCTAGAGAACCTCTGTTTGTTTTGAGGTGCCCACAGTCCTGCATCTTTTTTGTGCATGAAAATCGTGGATCAACCATTAAACTAAGTTCTAGTTGAGAGTGTGTCCTCAAAGGATGGCACAACAATATGAGACAGCCATTTGATCATCATTGCTCTGGAGATTTAATAGAAAACATTTGCTGTTCGGATGATGCGGTAAAGAGCAGATTTCCAATTATTCCATCATGGTTGCATTTCATTTTCCCCATATTAGCGCGGCATATCCATTGGTAGTCCCTTAAAAGTGGAAGGGACTAGAAGAGATAGGGGCAGACAAAAAAGGACTTGAGTGGAAGTGGTAATATACTTGAGCACCCGTAATTTGATGATGGATAATGCACTGAACAAAACAGAATGGCGAAACAGGATTCTTTTAGCTGATCCCATATAGTTGGGACAAGGCTTAGATGATGATGTTGATGATCTATTGGTGGTTCTTGATCAATTTTTGCATGGTAAGATGCATGGATGTATACGCACCATATATGTTATGAGTCCTATAAGTTCTGCTCAGGAATTTCCCTTGGATCAAGATGAACTGAGAAAGAGAGGTGATGTATTATTTATTTAGACCTTGAGATGTATACATTTGAACAAGCAAATGTCTAGTTTGAAGAAACCAACTTATAGACCATAGTATAAGAGAGAATTAAGAAGAGAAATAGTAGTAGTCTTGAGAGTTTTTAATTACATATATTGCTTCATATTTTTTTTTCTACCAGAACATCTATTGCTTCATATCAATAAGATGATTTTGTGACTCTTTCAAGAAGTAATAGTAGTCTTGCATGATAGAATACTGTCATATTAAGATTTTATTAGAAAATATTTTGGTATTATAGGGCTTTATATGATGCTTTTGTCCTATTATTTGGGTTCTGGTATTTATTCTCTATTAGTCAATCGTATGGAATTGATGAGAAAAGCCTTATTGATTTTAGCCTTTTTTTTATAAGTTGATTTTAGCTTTTTTTATGATATTTACTCAATTATTTGTTTATTTTAACTTTCTGGCAACGGACTGGGTGAGATATTAATTTGCTTGCACTAGACTAGCTAGTTAGAGGAAAGGGAATATGGGATTACAGATTACTCCTGTATCATACCCCAAGTGGCATCACTAGTTATAGGTGAGACCAAGAGAATGTGAATATTTTGCTCTTAAGAAACTTGATATTACTTTAGAAACCACAATTCCTTCTCTTATCTGCTTCTTAGAATCTCATTGTTCCTTCTTTTTTCCTACATGGCTATCATACTTGATGGCAATGCTGTTTGGAAAATGACAAGTTAATTGGCAAAGGGCAAGAGACCATTCTTTCACCACCTTTTTATTTTCCCTCCTTTTTCCTGAAACATCAAGACAAACAGTACCAGCAGGCCTTCGATTTTTATTAGCAATATTTTTAAGAGCCCTTTGCAGTGGAATGATTTTAACAGTTAATGTAGGCAGCCAGTCAACACCAACGTGGCACCCTTAGGCGATGTCTTCAATTTGAGATAGCTGAGGCTCAGAGGAACATTCTTGGGACCAGCTGCTGTCAGAACACACAGAATGTTATTACGAATCCAGGATTACCTGCTAATTCTAAAGACTCAGAGATTTTGGTTTCATCTCATCATGAACCAAGTACAACTTCTAGCATCGGGAGACCAGTCAATTTATCCCAGCTTATATCTCCTAACTTGTCTATTTGTGCAACTAAAAATACAGAAGCTCACATGGAGAAGGTTGATAAACATGTTCAAAATAGTGAAAATGCTCTCATGATTGCTCCTAAGCCATCTGGTATTGGCTTGCACCTAAATAGCATTGTTAATTCTGTTGCAATGGGCTCTGGTGCGACTGCGAGTGTGAATTCCACTGAGAAAGATCGTCCAAGTTTATTAGGGATGAAGTCACAGTCTGTTATTAACTACCATTTTCCTGAAGATCCAAATACCAGTTCTCATTCCACAAGTACAGCTGAGAACTTTTCATATAATAATGATGATCGGCAAGAAAGCCAGGCAATAGTGCTGGCAAGTACTGTCCATACACAGTCTCCACGCATTGTGAAGCCCATGGGCAATTTGAAGTCCAAGCTTATTGAGCATCATACGACTCCATGTGATGCAAAAAGATCTGCACCGGAAAATGCTAATAAACTTGAGGAGTTAAACCAACTTAGTCCCAAAAAGAAGAGGCAAGTGGAAATTATTATCACATGCATACATGCATATTCCTTGCTAGGCTCACTATAATGAGAGCATTTGTCTTTTCCAGGAAGAGGGTATCATACACTACCGAAAATGTTGGCTGCAAACGTTGCAATTGTAAGAGGTCAAAATGCTTGAAACTGTAAGTATACAGGATTTTGTCAAGAGTGTAACTTAAACATTCTTTTCATTAGAATTGATGTTTAATCTTCATCCTTTTGGCAGTTATTGTGAGTGCTTTGCAGCTGGAGTATACTGTGCTGAACCTTGTGCATGCCTAGAGTGCTTCAACAAGCCTGAATATGAAGATACAGTTCTTAGTACCCGGCAACAAATTGAATCCCGTAACCCACTTGCTTTTGCTCCAAAGATTGTATGCCGTGTTACTGAGTTTCCAGCAAACAGTGGGGTAACATTCATTCTCTAAACCAATTGCAGTGTTCTTTTATCTTATTGATGCAGCCACTCATTGGCCATGTTTCTACAGGAAGATAGTAATAGGATGACACCATCCTCGGCCAGGCACAAAAGAGGATGCAACTGTAAAAAGTCTCTGTGTCTGAAAAAGTATTGTGAATGTTTTCAGGTTTGGGCTCTTTTACTTTTCTCTTAAGTCATGTGCCATTATGCCTTCCTTGAATCTATTCTCATTGGACATGTCTATCTGCTTGGACATAAAGGCTGGTGTTGGATGCTCTGAAGGATGTCGATGTGAGGGGTGCAAAAATGTTTATGGCATGAAGGAAGGTAAGGATTTTAAATGGGTAGCTCTATTCGTTTTTTTTATTCCCTTTTTAATGAACTCTATTTGTTCAATTTTATATGGATTTTAAATGGGTAGCTCTATTTTATTAATGAACTCTATTTGTTCAATTTTTTTTGTTGGTACTCGGTGCCATGCACCATTAGTAACTTCCCCCTTGACCCCTTTTTCCCCAAAGTGCTGGTTGTGGGATTCAATTCCGCATTAACACTGGAACAAACCAGCTAACACACCAACAAGCTAGCCCTCGGTTGGTAACTCTATTTGTTGAATTTATCCTTGTATTTACTAACATATCAAAATATAATCAGTACTCAGTACTCTTCAGATAAAATTGAAATTTATAATTAAATTTTGTGAATCATTTGAAATTTGTGTCATTGCTGGATTCTTTCCATATGCCTGTGCGAAGAAACTTACTTAAGGATATGGTGACATTACAGAAATTGTGTACAAAAGGGCTGATGAAAGACGGGAGGATGTATCTGGTAAGAAGATGGGTATGGTGGAAACAAGAAGTGAGATTTTACATTCAGAGCAGTGTCATCCACAGCACCTCTCACCCCTCACACCATCATTCCAGTGCTCCAAGTATGTATGGTTCCACTGTCTGCATTTAAACTTGATTGAACAAAAATTGGGATCCAATTCTGTGCATGAACACAAATTATCAATATATAATTTATTTCCTCATTGTTTTCATTTATTTCTATACTCAGCCATGGAAAGGACATTTTGAGATCCCGACTTCCTGTTAGAAGATATCTCCCATCACCAGAATCTGATACGACTGTTTTATCATCTTATGGAAAGTCACCATTATCTCCAGTAGATTCGAACAATAATGAGAGACAACAAAAAATGAGTGTAGAAATTGTAGATATGATTTCTTATGATCAGGATGTAGATTGCTTGACATCTGGGGAGATGGATCAATTCTCTCCTAGATGGGATGGACTTGTAGACATGTGCGATCTCACTCCAAAGCCACATCCTCCCTCAAGGGCTATGGTATCTTCAGCTTCATCCAATTCTAAAGACTGCAAAAAGGTTTTGAGAGCCCAATTATGTCATAGAAATGGCCGCTTATCAGCAATTAGTTCACTTCGGCAGAGTTCACCCATCACTCCAGTTACACAGTTGGGTGGCTCGAAGTTTCCCCAAGAATCTGATTCTGATAGTGCACTATATGGCATCCTTGAAGATGACACACCTGATATATTAAAGGATACTCCTACCCCCATCAAGACAGTGAAAGCCAGCTCCCCAAATCAGAAGCGAGTTTCTCCTCCTCACAGTCGCTTGCACGAGCTGAGATCAAGCTCTTCGCCCGGCTTGAGAAGTGGGCGCAAGTTCATATTGCAGGCAGTGCCTTCCTTCCCTCCTCTCACCCCATACAGTGATCCTAAAAGTTGTAGCAGTGAGAAGTGATTTCTGCATATAGAAATGAGGTGAGCCCTAATCATGCATGCTTATACCTGGCTGTTATTCACTCCTATGTCACAATTTAACACGGGTGCTGATGTTTGATGTATACATGCTTTTTTAGTGCCCTGTAGGTTTATATGGTGGTGGCATGGAGATGGTTGAACTCAGGAGAGCATCATTTGCAATGAGGAACTGCAGTTTCAATTTTCAAAGAAAGGTGGCAGGGTTGGGTGCCAACAGCGCTCAAACCTTGCCATATTTATCTCCAATGCTCCTGTGGTTGTTTCAATGGGTACTGGGAACTCATGGGCATTTGTCCAGAAGTTTCTTGTGCAATATGGCTTTTAAGTGATAAATAGGTTGGTAATGCAACTGCATCATGGGGTTGACCTTTTTTTTAATTGTTTTTCCCTTCGGCGTTTATATCTTGATTGGCTTTTGCCTTGCCGACCAGAGATAGATTCATTCTTAATTCTTATGAAGTTGCTCCTGATGCGTTGGGAGGCTAAAATAAAATTTCATCTAAGCTCGAATATCAAACAGTTCACAAGAATTTTTCTTAAGTAGCTGTTCTTTGATCATATGGACTACTGTTGCCACCTCTCTACTTTTGACACAGGACTGGAAGGAAAAAAATTGTTAGCAGAAAGCCCTAAATGGTTGGACGGTCCAGATATTGAATTGGACCAGTCCAAAATGGTAAAAAATAAGGAGAATGACAGTTCAGCCCAGGGTTAGAATTCTTAGGCCTAAAGTACAGTTGGGGGTAGGTGCTAGCTTCGAATTGATGCCAATTCACCGGTGGCCATTGGTGTATAAGGTGGGTGTACTTGACATTTTGAATGTTTATAGGTATGCAGTGGAATTCAGATATCTGCAATGGGCTGTCCATGCTTTTTTGTAAAAAATATTCATTGGATTGGATTGGACCAAATCCAATCCAATTGACACCCCTAGCTATCGGTACTGTTACCACTTGCATTCTTAATTCTATACAAGGTTCAAAGTATCGGAAACTCAAGGTGTATCGGAAAGGTAATTTTAAGAGGTGTATCGTCAAGATATGCATAGATACATTAGAAAAAAAAATCTTAAAAATATGAACAATAATAAAAATGAGTTTTATGTGAGTATAATTAATTTATTTAAACATAAAAACCATTCTTTAATGATTTATATAAAGTATTGGGGTATAATTAATAACCATTGAAAAATAATAGAACTAAAATGTGTGTATATATATACTAATATTTATTAGTTAATATTTTTTGTTGAAATCATTTATTAGTTAATATTTATTATATATAGATTTAGATAATATTTATTATGTATACAAGTTAACACATACCTTAATTTTTAATAAATAAATATAACTTATATTTATCTTATTATTATATAAATATTAATAATCAAATTTATAGCATTTAGTGGGAAACATCCACCCAGGCAAGAAATATTACTTTCAGTATAAAAAAACACGTCATTCTAATAAGTAATTAAGATTGGCACAACAGTTAATTAATTATTGTTATAAGCAACTGACTTGGGTCCGAAACTTGTTACCTTTGGTTTGTGATTTTTAACAAGTTATTTCACTTAAATAACATTTAATAACATTAAATGCTGTAATCAAAGATAACTTAAATGAGCATTTAATTAAATTATATTAGCACTTAGTGATTTTTCAAACTTTAAGACTTAATTAAATATGATATTAATGAGAGAAAGAAGAGATAAATTAAACTTAAATTTAAAAAGAATAGGAAAATTAAATTTGGCTGATACATAATGCGTATCGGTGCGTTTCGGGTTGTATCAGTCGATACATACCCAAAACGGTTTGATATAAACAAAAAAAAATATGAAATCATGTAATTATATATATTGTGTATCGGAACTCTTCCGAAATGATATGTATTGGCCTATAACGGCTGATACATTGCGAAATTTAAAACCTTGATTTTATATTGACAGAGAAAGTCTCGTGCTTCTAAAAGTTAAACCATGGACGCAATCGCAATTCTGCTGCACTTCCGAGTGTCAGCTTTTATCAATGCATTTTATTGCATTACAAGGTTATTGTTCAAGAAATAGTCCATAACCTCCATGAAAAGAAAGGGGTTCATAGCATATCGGTCTTTTTTTATAGAAAGTATCCATGCAACAAGATAATCAGATAAGTGGTGCTTTCTTAAATAGTAGTGCATGTGCATCTCAATCTTTCACCTGTTGCCAATTTGTTGGATTCTGGCTATTAGATCTATGCTTGTCAATTTGCGGTTTATTTTCTGTTAGTGTTTAGGATTCTTGAGGGAGTTAACAAAATAAATTAAAAAAATAATGAGAAACTCTCTTTGGGAGTCAAGTGAAAAGGATCATAGAGTAAGATGGGAAGTGGATGGCATAAACAAAAGGTTTGGTGGATTTGGATTAGGGAACACCCAGGAGAGCAATGTTGCATAGGGAAATGGGTGTAGAGTTATTTATGGATAGAGACAGGCTGTGGACAAGTTATCAATATTCATGGACTTGCATAGGGAAACGGCTTCTAAAGCTTCTCCCCGAAAGTCTTTCCATGTAATTTTACCATCCTTCTTGCCATTTGTTAAGTATAAACATTGTCAAATTCTAGGATCATATGTGGTGGGATAATTCTCTTTTGAAGGAGCAATTTCCCTCTTTATGTCATTTCCAATCATAGGGATGAGCCTATTTCTTCTTTCATTGTGCCCTCTAATTCATCACTTGGTTTTGATTGAAACTTGGGTTTCAATGGAGGCCTTTGTGAGTTGGAAATGAATATTGTTTTGTCTCTCTCTAAAGGTTGGAAGGTTTTTTTTTTTTGGATCCCATTAAAAGGGGTAGTTGACTTTGGACTCTTCTCTTTGATTCATTTTCTTGTGCCTCTTTCTTCTCAGTCTTCATTCAGCCAAGGAATAGTTTGAGGATGCATTTTCCTATTGGGGAGGTTTGGAGCAAGCCTATCCCACCTCATGTAGGTGCTTTTTGCTGGAAAGCCTTTCTTTGAGAGAATTAACACTTATGATTTACTTCCAAAAAAAGACCAAATTTATGCTTATCCTGCAACTAGTGCTCCTAAGGTTAATGGTAAGTCTTGCTACCACTTATTAATCTTATCCTTTTATTTCTTTAATTTTGGAATTGTTTCTCTTTTTGTTTGAATATAGATGGAATTCCCTACAAAACATACAAAATTTGTTTGCCTCGACCTTCGTTACCTGACCAATAAAGAGGGGAAGATGTACAAGAGCAGCTATGTGTTGGACAACATAGGAAAGAAATCAAAGGATTTGTCTTGATAAGAAGGGTAGGGATGCCCTATTGAAGTCATTATAATTAAGGTGATCATTTGGTGAGGAATTAGAAGGTAGTTTGATGACTCAACTTCTAGCAAGGCTGTGGTTAGACCAACTTGGTCCCCCGTAGCTTTATTAAACTAAATTTTGATAGGAGTAATGAAAAAATTCCGGGTCTTTCAAGCATTGAGGGCATTTTAGAAATGAGAAAGGAAGAATTAGTATTGTCTACTCAATAATCGATTGGTGTTGGTGATTCTGAGGACTGAAATTATGGATGTAGTAGGCCTTCAAAGGGCTAGAGAGCTAAATATGTAAAAACTAGTTATTGAGGGGGACTCGAAATTAGTTACCGAGTGATTGCAAAATAGAAAGTTGGATGGTGGTACTATACATAATGAGAAAAGGGGCAAATGGCTGTCCCAAGAATGAAAATCAATGTACAATGGATGAAATTATAAAAGTGACGGGGTGGGAAGGGATCATTTATTTTGGGGTGTATTGTAATTATGATTGCATTTGGGAGAGTTACGAGAGTTTATCTCTCTTTGTCCCCTTAGTACTCTTTTTTAATCTAATAAATCAATCTGTTATTCACTTTAAAAAAACCTTTCACTCACTTGATGACTAATGCTGGAAGAGTAGCAAAATCGTCTAAATGGTTTGAAAGGACAAGGTTTTTATAAGGATCTACCTATATGAGATTTGTCATCAAGGACAGTGCAATTATTAGATGAAAGAACAACTGAGGGGTATTTGCTAATTAAAGGAGGCTATTTTCAGTGAAATTTATCATAAACACACAAAATCATCTAATTATTTAATGCTGAAGAATAAAAGATAATAAACTATAGGGGTTTGTCAGTGTCATCCCTGGAATAAATATTGCTACCAGAGTTCTGCATCAATTATCTTCCTGTTTATACTTCATATCTCTGGAATAACCACTTGTTGGACAGTTTTCCCTTCTATGCAAGATTCTAAATTTCAAATTCCACAATTGTTTTTGTTCGGACTTCGGAGATCAGATACACAACCAATAAGTTACTCCCACCCAAATTAATATATAAAAGAAAAAAAAAATTCAAATGTCAAATGAACATCCCACTTCATGCTTATTTCTTTCACCATTACTAATCCTATCTAGGTGCCAACAAGCCAAATGAGAGGAGCAAAAGGGAAGAGACCAACTAATGCCACAATATATATACTCTAGACCCACATCTACTTCTTACTGCCCGCTTCCTACTCCGTACAGACAATAAAGTGATTTTCCCGCATCTAAAACACTTATTTTCTCATTGGAAAGCTATTATTTAAAAATGATAAATGGTTACAATTTATGAGCGTTTTCCCTCAAGCCCCAACCTTGCTGTAAGCCAATTGCAGACCTCATCCATCTCTTCAGGGACTGTGTAGTGGCCAAGTCTGCATGGTGAAACCAGTGACTAAGGAAGGCTTCTCACTTTATAGCAAGCAAATATAAAACAGGAAGATTGAGCAAGAAGGGTACCCATTATAGGTTTTAAAAGTAAGGCTGCGGAATCCAGCTGAACTTAAGACTTCTGCAGATTTCTCTCCATATTTATAAAGGACTACATCATCAGCTGCCAGAAGAAAATAACGAGTTAGACAATTACAACCCCATATAAGGATCGCATTTTTTCAATCTCTTTTTTTACATGTAAAAGAAAATATTTCAGCATTCATTTATGGCCACATCAAAATATTCAACAAAAGCTGACAGCAAACTTATGATAATGGTAATTCTAAAATCATGGGGACCTATACGAAAGTCAAGACCTGGATATTATGAGGCAGAAGAAAAGGGGTGTGAGTTGGGCACAACAATGAGAGAGAGTAGATTAAGATGGTTTGGGCATGTGCATAGAAGACCACCAACTATGCCAGTTAGAAGAAGTGATTTGTTACACATGAAGGGGCTAGAAGAGCTCGGGGCAGACCAAAAAGGACATGGGTAGAAGTAGTAAGAAAAGATTTAAGCACTAATAATTTAACAGTGGATATGGCTTTAAATAGAATGGATTGGCCTAACAGGATTCATGTTGGGATAAGGCATGGATGATGATGATGGCATGTTTAAAAAGAAAAGCACCACCATGCATTGATTTTTACTTTGATAAACAGGATATCTATTGTCATTTCACCTAGCATGTGTCAGTTTGTAAATGAAGAGATATCCCTGGCTTAAAATCTTGAAATGTCAATTCCAACTCCATGTCCTGAATGAAAGTTCTGGCAGTGCTTGAGCATTAGATGGACTTTTCAAATAGGTGGCAAGCCTGATTAGGGTGGTTAGCATGGACACACGCTTCCAAACTGCTGTGGCCAACAGATAATAACATATGAAAGAAGAAATTTCTAAGTGGATAAAAAGTTAGCAATGATTTATGAAGCTGATTGTTTGCAAGCAAGCTTTTTTTTTTTTTTTGGGCTAAATAGCAATAAAGAGATTAAATATAATGGTTTTCCCAAAGATAAACATCAGAAATAGATGATTTGAAAGACTAGAAATAACAAAAACAAGAAGTTCAACATGTTAAATGGAACCTGTAAACTGATTGAGGTGGTTTTATCCTGTGCAGCAAAAACCATTCACAGCACCAGTTAGGAGGATTATGGTGCACATTTAGAGACTTCAAATACATCAAGCTCAAGAAGAAAGTTTGATATTCATGTTCCAACATAAACATGTAATCGTGATGGTCATGATGTCTCTAGAATGAGTAACCTCCCCTTCCCCCTAATTTCCACATTTCAATGCCTGTTTAAGAATTCAGCAGACTTTGAAACAAGTCTGCTGATTCTCAAGTGCTGCTGAACTAATTTTTTCTTTAATAAAAAAATGAATAAAATAGAAAACCAGGAAATATAAAACAAATAAATAAACATGCATAAAGAAACAAGCAGCACAAAATTTGAAAAAGCTTGTTGGGAACAAAAAAAAAAAAAATCTGCTTTTGTTCTTACATGATCAGTTAAGATTACAGAACCTGAGTTTCAGTAAGTGGAAACAGTAAGATATTTTTTATTACTCTGGGCGGATAAGATTAGCTTTTTGGAGTGTATTAATAATGAATTTTCGAAAAGCAACCCGAATGAAACTAAAGAAAATTCTCAGGCTCCAGGTCCATCAGTTGTATAAATCCAAATAATATAGTATGTTATAATTATATCATGATGGTACAAAAAACAAGACTCAGCCTCGACATTGTGATTGAAACACCTTTTTTTATGAGCCGGTGGTTGGAACATATCATGTGTTATTTTGCATGATTTACTCCATAATACTGGACACAAATGATACAACCAATAAAATTAAATAAACCAAAAAATCAAAATGAAGTAACCTATCACATGACATATCAGTATATAATAGAGAGAAATATAAATTACCTCTACCATGACATAGAAGAAGAGGCAAAGATGCAGCACGCCTGACAGTTTCATTTGATCCTCCCATATTGTTTTTCAAGCTCCTGGAAACCAACAGCTACCAACTTAACATATGGAATCAAACTGCATATATCATCAGTGAGTGTGTGGATCAAAGAAATGGTGTGTGGGTCGATGGGGGTGGGGAAACAATTATGCTGAAAGAATCCAGACCTTGAACACGGAAGCCAGCCACTTAGACCAACAACTGCACTTATGTTAACTGTGTATGGACTGCCATTCCCATACCTCCCTTGAGTACAGCAAGTTGCAGAATAGAGGGCAGTTGCAGCACCCATACTGAATCCCCCAATACCAAGTTTGACTGTTAAGAAAGGAGTGAGGTATGATAAGAGCCAAGACAATCAAAATGTGAGATTAAAAATACATCCCTAAGCCTAGTACAAAACCTATTTGCTTCTACTTTCCTAAGCTGATAAAAGAAGAGGGGAAGAATGCTATGGAAATGCACAAGGGCAGCGGTGTGTTGGACAATTTAGGAGGAGAGGAACCAAAGAATATTTCTTGGAAAAGAAGAAGCAGGGAAGCTGTCATCAAAATTATTACCACTAAGGTAGTTCACTGGGTTAAGTCACTGGATCTTTTTAAGGATGTTCCTGGCATTGAGGCGATGAAGAAGTGGGAAATGGTAGCTGATTCTGCTCTAAGTGAGGAGGTGGTCAGGTCTCTTTGGTCCCCACCCACGTCCTACTAGAGGTTTTATTAAGCTAAACTTTGATGGTAGCAGTGAAGGCAATCCAGGTCCGTCTAGCATAGGTGGGGTTTTCAGGAATAAGGGGGGAAATATTATTGCACTATATTCAGGTCCAATTGGAGTTGGGGACTCGTTAAGGGCTGAAATCATGGATGTTAAGGAAGGGATTCAAAAGGCTAAAGAGCTGAATATCAGAAAGTTGTTAATTGAAGGTGATTCGAAGCTTGTAATTAGCTGGCTCCAAAAAGAGGATGGTTGGTGGTGTTACATATATGAGAAGAGGGAAGGTGTTAAATTGCTACAGGGAGTAAAGGTAATTTGTAATTGGGCCGGAAGAGATGTTAATGCCTTTGCTGATATACTTGCTAAACAAGGGGTGGGAAGGAATAGCTTATTTTGGGCTGTGTTGTAAGTTTACTTTCTGTTGGGGAGGGCTACGAGGGTTTATCCCTTCCCTTTCTTTGTACTAAAGTTATTCCTTTTTACTGAAATTGATCCTGTTATTGATAAAAAACATGCCTAAGCTTGTTCTTGATGTTATGTTTTTATGTGGAGTCTGTCGGCAAGAAAGGATTGAACCTGAAGACTTTATGGTTTATATGTAGAACATTAAGTCACTCAACTATGATGCACAACTAGCAAGGTGTAAGATATCATCAACCCTAGTATATCAAGATAGTGTAATAGATATTCAAAGATATCTTATTATGTAATTAGTTACTAAGGGAAGATATGGTAAGGATATGCCCAGCAGAAGAGAAAACTAATGAAGGTTCCATTTGCCCCTTCTTTTTCTGGTACATGGCTTATAATGAATAACGATTGATGTTATTATATTAGCTTTAAAACATAAATGAATCAAAGGGAAGAACCATAGAAATTTATCAGGGAAAGCAGCAAACCTTACATGTTTTTTTTGGCCAAAAAAATTGATAGCTAAAAAAGGCTTTAACAACTTTATAACCAAGCAAAGAATTAAACTTTTCAAATCAATGAAGCATTATTATGTCTAGACAAAATCATCTATCCTTGCAACTTTACAAGTATAGACAGATATATGAACTTTTCTTATCACAACGGATTAATAGAGTCCTGGAAGCTACTAGGTGAAAACATACTATCAGCGGGTTCTGTTGATAGCAGGTTTGCAACATGTGCAGCAGAAGCATCTAGACCCTCCACATCATCAGGACCATCTTCTGAAAGGTCTCCTACATCAAACCCTGATGTAAATTGCACAAGCACCATTAGAATATGTTTGTGGTGCTCCAATTGCATATTTTAATTTTGAAGTATTTCAAAAAGAAATGCATGAATCATCAGATGACAACAAAGCTTGCAGAAAATCAAAACAAGATAATGATTTCAAACCTATCCAACGTTAATCTATCTTACATGCAGTGCAAGGAAAGCCGCCAAAGATTGCTACAGGTCGAGTAGGAGCTGTTGGGCATATCCATTTAATCTGTATCATAAAAATTCAATAAACATAAATGATAAATACATCAAATAAAACAGGAAGCAATTCTTCAATCATTGGAGATGATGATAACCATTGATATACAATGTGATCTATACAAACAGAGGAAAAAATGTTTATAATCCTTACATTTGGAAGAGGAAGGGTTTCCAGGAGCTGGGACCAGCTGCACAAAAACAATGGAAAAATGAGAAAATCTCTTATATCTCTGTTAAAGAAAAAAATCTGCTCAAAAGGAAAAAAATAACATATTGTATGATTATGAAATAAGAGAAACAGATTTGAAATAGTTGCTATTACTCTTTACGAAGTCTGAAGACTGTTATTACATAACTTCAAGACACCTTCCTTTGTTTCATTTGTTTTGTGGGGGGTTTATTTTGGTTTTTTTAAGAGGGTGGGGCTGGTTTTGAGTTGAAGTTTGCTTCTTTCTTCTCTCAGGTGACTTTATTTTTTTTAATTTTAATAAAAAATTCTTTTTATTATCAAAAAATAAAATAGATAACTTCAAGACACCAGCTACAGTTGTGTCAATCTATTTAATCTTGGGAACACACTCAAAATGGAGTATCTTCCTAATGGCAGAAAACCACAAAGTTTATAATATGAGTGCTTAAGTGTTGAAATAAAAATAGCTTCCATTTAAACTTGAGTCAAGATTTATTGTTAGCCATCATAATTTGGGATAGGGAAAAGAGTACTGTAAGCTAGCATAAATATATCTTTGGAAGCAAGTTACATTTACATGTGAGGCCAAATTAGTCTGTTTGTTCAGTTGGCTGGGTGACTCTTGTGGTGAGCTAGTGGTCCCCTATTCAAGTGTTTCAGCATATTCACTTTCCACATACAAAGCTTTCCCAGCAAAGCTTAGAGAAAAAGAGAGAAAGATAAGGACAAAGAATTATGTTTTGTTTTAGTTCATGGCACCGGTTTTCTCTCCCATTGAATCACTCAGAATGAGAATCTTAATGAAAAGGATGTATGACTGAAGAAAGCTAAGTTTAAAATTAAGTTACTCTTGCAAGAGAACAGGGCAAGAGATTTGACATTCTCTGACTCATCTTCTCCTGTTTTTGCAACAAAAAGTTTACCAACTCCTCAAACATAAGGTATATACTCAAGATAAAGGGAGAAAGAATAATATCTTGCCAATGTTACTAATAGAGGAGAGAGTAAACACAAACAAGTAATTATCCCAGTCCCTGTCTCACACGTTGTTGAAGCATGTAGTTGTCATTGATCATATAAAAGAAACAGCTACACGCACAATCTCCATCAACAAATTAATAAATAAAGTTAAGCATGTACATCATTTCAACCAGCCATGGCATGTAATTCACACTAAAATGGTCAATACATATCTAAATAATGCTACCTGAAAACAATTGGGAAAAAAAAGACACTATGGACCTGAAATTTCAAGTAGCGGCTTTTCTAGTGAAACATAGTAATAATACCTTGAGCCATTATCACCAAGGCCATGTAGCCAAACTATAGTAGCCTGGTGCTTCCCTTTGGGTCTAACCACATGGGTCCTCCCAAACTCGAATGTCTTTTTAGTAGCTGTAGCTCTACTACCTGATATTTTGCATCATCAAAGTTAACCACAAACAACAAAACAACAACCGTAGAGGAAATATAGAGCAAAAATATTATCATTTACCCATTATTGTTATAAAAAGCAATACAAAACCTAGATTAAGAAAAGACCCAAAGCCAAGGGACAAATATCCATTACTTAGGGGATGGAACTCCATTATTAAGAGTAAACTACACTTTATGCAAAGCCAGATAAGACTTAAAGACAATAACGAATGAGGGAAGAAGAGACTAACCAGAACATATTGAAGGGCTAGTAAAGCTCATCTTAACAGCTCGGAGAACTGCACTAACAAACCCGCCTATTTCAGAAACAACTGAAAAGAGCTCCTGCAATGAAGAAACACCCAAATTGATAGTCTCTATTTATACGCAACTGGGTGGGTGAAAATGTAATAAAACTGATGAATCTGCATCAGCCACTCTTGCTTACACCAGCTATAAGCTGTTCCTGAAACCACCTAGAAGCCCATAAAGAGGACGGCACCCACAAAAAGGAGAGATAAAGAAAGGGGAAAAAGCAGGAAATCTTTATGACCAGAGAATCCACAACAGATCAAAGCACAACATGCATGAATGAGACCCCTCCAACTAAGAGACTCTCGATTTCTAATACCGATAGAATTTATGCTTGTAGGCAGTGGACAAAAAAAAGCACATCAACTAGAACAACCCAAGAATATTTCTCAAAAACAACAAAAGAATAATCCCATTGTGAATGGGTGATCATTAACCACGGATTAAAAGCTCAAATGATCTATGGGAGTAAAAAAACGATTTTTTTTCTGTTTTTTTTCAAAAAGATGTATAAAAAAGAAGCATAATCTTGCAGGTATAGAAACATCTATAAAAAATGGAATTAATCAGGCGTAGTAAGAGGAGGAAAACAGAAATGGGATTTCATTTCATACCCATTGTACCAACCTGAACTTACTGGGCGGAGGTGACGCAAAAAGCATATAAGCTTTTCCCTCTTCCCTCGCTTTCCCTCCCTCCTTTTCGTTTATATGTACGCGTATACAGTTACGTTCAATCTGAACGGGAGCTTTTCACTTTCCAGTATGGCCTTCCAAACACTGTCTGTATTAATGATTTTCCTTTTTAAGGCTGCGTTTGGTTGCAACTAACCGGAATTGAATAGGAAAGTAAATTGCTTTTCTATTTTTTGATAATTTATTTAACTTGGATAACAAATCCACACGGTTGAGAAATATATGGATGTCACAAACTTACACTATCTGATTTAAGAGGACCTAACCCTTTATTCAGAAAATGACGTTGAAAATAAAGGGAAGTCATTTTCCTACAACTAATTTCTTTTGTAGAAATTTATAACAAAATCACTTTTGTGGAAAATATTTATTCTTCATGACCATTTTCGTTTTGTGTTCCATTTGGTTCATGAAGGCAATCAAGGTTCAAAATTTCAATACGTATCATTTCGGTAATTTTCTAATACATTTCTACAGGAGGTGTTTCGGGGTCTAACCTAGTTCAGGGGTAGAAGGGCCTTAAACCAACCCCTTTTAGCCAATTGGAGAAGAAAAGCTAAAAAAAGGTATGCCACGATACGATATATCGACCAGTATCGATATTTTGAACCTTGAAGGCAATACAATAGAAATAAGTGTTTCATATACTATTGTCATAATTAGTATATACATAGTTCCAAAACCAGCAAAATGAAACGCATCTTTTCTATCACATTGCATGAAAAGTTTTTTTTTTCTTGATATTTGGTGATATTCACCACTAATAATCCCCTTCCTCAAGGGGGTGATTTGCGAAAATCCAATCCACATTAATACTGAAGCGAACCAACCAACTGAGCCACCCCTCAATCGGTATATTGCATGAAAAGCTTAATAAAAGAAAAGTAAATAATGAAAAAGTATATAACCATGAATGACAGAATCAATACTGTAGCCTGTAGGGATGATCACCCAGCTCGGCTGGAAATTCTAGACTTGTCCAAGGTTTTGTGTTCAAACATAATGTATAAAATTAATTTTATAGGCATATTATAAAATATTATATATTTTATATTTTATACACATAATTCATAGGTCTGGGGCCCGACCTATAGCCCTTATCCTAGGTTCTAAGCCCAACCTGGGCCTTGATAGTTCTTACAATACTTGCATTTCATGGATATAAATTGAATTATGAATAAAACAGCCTCAGTCTCTTTTGCATTGTCCGATTCAAAAAAATAAAATAAAATAAAAATATTGTCGTTTTCAGAAAAAAAAGGGGTGTGATTCCAAAACCATACCACTCTTTTTCAAAACTACAAACCCAACTTCACCTTAGTGCAAACAAATTCTTTGGAGATAGATCAATGTTCATTTTATATGCAACCAAATGAAGCCTAAGGTTCTGTTTGGAAAGAGTGTAAATACAAATATGTATGATGTAAATACATACAAAATAATATAAAATACAAAATTTTACACTCTACATATTTGTATTTGTATATTATACTCCTTCCAAACTGAGCCTAAGTGAAAATTTTCTATGAAATTCTCTTAAAATAACACAACTTATATATAACAACTTTATTTCAAATTAGGATCAATACTATGTAGCAACTTTATAAGCCCCCCTCCTTTGTTAGGGCTTGTAAATCAGGATAACATTAGGGAGATTGCTGAATTGACGCTGCATCTATATATAGTTTCTTTTATCTTTTGTGCTTTTCATGCATAGCAATGAACAATAGTAGTTTTATAAGAGATTGCTTTTTGTTATACTAGTTATAGTTTGAAACAGGTTAATACTTAGTTCTATTGCTTTGAAAAATAATTAAAGCAACTTTTTTCGAGCAACTCATTATCACTCTCTCTCTCTCTCTCTTTTAGGTATGGGTATAAGAAAAAGAAATGGGTACCATAGAAATTGCCATATATATATTCCAAGTGATAAAAAAAAAAAAGTATGCCTAGAAAAAGGTTATGCCATATGGAATTGACACTTCAAAAATATTACTCTCTTTCTATTACTAACAGCCCATTTGACAATACCAAGCACTTGGTTTCATTTCTTCTGTCCCTCATGATGCAGCTGCTGCTGTTGGTTATGTAATATTCTTGCCAAACAATTCTTTGATTGCAGCAGTAGGGGCATCAATTCTTTGATTGCTTGGAATGGTTTTCTATTTCAGCTGAGTTTCTTGCATTTAGTGTACATCATGATTAACTTTTCAGATTTTTCCAAACTCAAGTGTAGGGGATTTCATCTCAAAGTCTTCACTACAACCAACAGAAAACCTTACCAACCCACTGATTAGCGAGCCCAGATTTCCTACTCATTTTTATTATCCACTCTCTACCCGTCGTGAATTGCTGTCACACATCTCTCAATTCAAAATAGAGATGTATGACTCCAATTTACGGCGGATAAAGAATGGATAGGAAAAGCGAGTAAAAAATCTCGAGTGCTGATTAACACCTTGCTTTTTTGTTTCTTACCATGTTATTTATAACTTCATATTCCCAAGATCGAAACATTATAACTCGTACTATTGACTGCTAGCGCTAGAGCTAGAATACCAAACCATACTATTGAGTTTAATGATCAAGTTCCGAAGTGGTTGTGAAATCTCTTCTGCACTCATCCAATCACAGAACTAGTGTATCCATATTTTGTTCCTTCGTTTGAATGAATGAAAGTTTATTGTTGATAAAAAGGAAAAAAACAAAAAACTCATGTAGCTAAGGGAGGTGGTAGGATTTTTTATCGGTGGGGGCCAAAGCGTAATAAACATGGAAAGGAAGGGCCAAAAGATAGGAAACATGGGTAGGAGGGGTAAAATATATGTAAAATTTAAATGGCTACTATAGGGAATTTCAAGGCATTGGGTGGGGTGGTTCCCTTCTACCACCCCCTGCGTGCCATCAACAATTAGGTAGGTGTTTAGCATCAGTGCTGGACATGTGAAATTGTAAGTACCGTTTTTTGTTTGGAACCGGTGCTACCACATTGCCTTTTTTTTTAGAAAACTTCACTGCTTTTATTTGATATTAGTGTTGGCAGCAGTATTTTCAACACTGATCTATATTATCCAACGTCCAAGATTAAGTTACATTGATGCCACGTTATTGCATCGTTGATAGTAATGCATCATTTTCCCCAAAAACATTAAATTTGGTGTTGCTCCAGACTACACTTTCCCTATTTCCAAGGCGTGGTCTGAAGCAACATTTTATGTGGTGCCATTTTCTCAGAAAATGGCATTAATGCCAAACATCACCTAGGTTGTTTGGCACTGAGGCGTTGCACAACAACCCATTTCTTGAAAAATTGGGAACACTTCGGGAAACACGAACAATGGATTCCACTAAAAAAAATCGGGATGTACACTGATGGGGTGTTTAAAGTGATCTTACTTATTATTATAATATATTTATAATGACAATTGTATGACATCTCAAAAAGAAAATAACTTTTTCAAATTTCAATATGTCACATCACCTTGGTGATTCAATAAACTTCAATTTAATGTTTCAAGAAACCCCTTCTTTCCCAAATCCCCAAGATAATCATTGCAAAAACGGTTTTTTTTTTGAGAAACAAGTTAACAAAATGCAATTTTTTATTGATTCTGCTTTTTTCTGATGTGGCACTGAATCCACGTCAGGGGAATCAAATGTCTCGTGACACACCTCGGTCCCAAGCACCCTCAATGTTTATTGATATGTGGAATCCATGTCATTAGATTTCACATGCGGCATGCTAAGCCCCCTAAGGGTCAGGCGCTATAGGCGTTTGTGGGGTGAATGAAAGAATGCACCACAAGGCCCACTTTCACACAATCCATGGCTTTTTAGAGACGGGATCTATTCCTCACACAGGATGCCTCACACCGATCTCATACACACATATCCTATCATGCATTCGGAATATCTCCCGTACTTATAAATTATTATTCACGGGAGATGTTCCCAGTGTACCTATAAGACGCCCATGTGTGAGGAGCATATCCCATTCCGGCTTTTTGCTGTTTGGTTCAATATGAGGAATACCTTACGACCAACTCGACATTGAGTGGATTCGCATGTCATTTCTTCTATTTGTTTCTGTATGAAGATGCCTTTAGCTTTAGTCATTAACAATACCATTCGGGGTTGCATCAGACAATATGTTCACACTTAACGGAATGAAACATTATTCGCTACTAGGAAGGAGAAAAGGAGAAATGAGGGATCATTCATCAGTAAGAAGGAGAAAAAAAAAAACTACTTTTGTACTACAGCATATGCTTCCAAAAGCTGAAAAGCAAGCATAAGGCATAAAATGAAAAATCAATTTTGTATTTCCAAATAACAAACTCATGAAAAGGAGGAAGCTTATTTGCAGAGGAAAAGGTGGATGGCTTTTACACATTCACCTTTTTGTACTACTTTCAGGAGAGTGGCTGCCTGCTGGTCTCATTGTCTCTCCCTACTAAGGCAAATATAATAAAGAAACCTATTTGTACTACAACACGCATCTTCATATCATCCATACATCCAACCCATCATGGTGCTTAAAAGAAAAAGGAAATTGTAACAAGTGCTTAGGACATAATTAAGGATATAACATTCTATCAAAATATTGGGTCCAAAAGAAATCAAGGGTTATCCGATGGATGGTAAGGATTGGTTGAAAGATCACTTCATCTAATGATATTCATCAAATTGTGTAGGTACATGAATGTTATTCACGTGTGCAAGTAAAGATATAAATATAAAAGCATAATTAGTGTTCTAAAATCTAACTATAATTTGAACCATTTTTTCTTTCTACATCAATGGATCAGCAGTTCAATAAAGAAAATAAAAATCCACTGACCCATTGAACAGATCAGATAGGTCAACGGTTCAACCGATTGAATCATTGACCAAGTCAATGTATTTTTAGATAATTAG